CATAACAAGCACGTGCCAGGACAAAGGGGTTGGTCGGGGACTGGGGCCGATTGGGGTAGCAGAAAATCTTAAATCCAGGCCTTTATATTATATAATGAGTGCAGGGAACGCGCCGCACCTGATAGATCAAGGATTACGGGATTGTCAGAGGCTTTTGGAACTTTGTCCAATTCTTCGTTTATGTGCACTTTGACTCCATGTGTGCTATTAAAATTTAATTGGTACTCCAATGTACTTAATTGGCAAGGCACGATAATTGAAACTGCGTAGAATAATAGGTATTAAGGAAGAATTAAAGAAGCTCTGTAAACAATAATACATAAATACAGATTTGTAAATTTTAATCATATTCGGAATTACATATTTTTACGGTCGCGAACGTACGAGAACGTACGATTTTTCCACAAAAAAAATTTTTTTTTTTTTGATTACCTCTTTGTTTTTATAAATAAATTTATATTTTCTTAAAAAATTTGAATTTAAATTTTATTTTAATTTTAATTTAATTTAATTTCGATTGCCACTTCCATCTACAACTATTTTTTATACGTACGTCATACATACGGTCGCGAACGTACGCCACTTTAAAATTCAATATAACAAAAATTTCTTGAAAAAGTCGGGATTTTTTTTATAAATTTCAATAGTTTACACTTAAATGACTTAACACATAAAGTTTCATCCACCTGCTTTCACTCAATGCGAAGCAATTACAATAAAATTATGTTTTGGGTCGCGAACGTACGATTAAAACATAGTTAAGAATCAAAATACAAATTAAGAGGTAATTGAACATTTTTTCGCTCTCTTTAATTTTTTTTTGTCTTATTAGATTGGTATTAAGAGATTTAGTACAAAAAGAGCAAACACAGCATATGTTTTCCTTGAGAAATAAATAAACATAAAAATGTCTTTAAAAGTATACAAGAAAGGAAAGCTAACTTCGGGCGGAGCCGAAGTTTATATACCCTTGCAGTTAAAACCGGATATATATCGCAAACATCGGATATAGTTGGCCGATCCTTATGAGAATATGATAATATAACCCAATTTATTATAATACAAAATTTAAAACAAGTCCCAAGCTTCTATCTTTAACAATACCAAAGTTGGTATTTCTACCAAAAACCATTTCCGAACGTTCAGTTATATGGCAGCTATAGGATATAGTCGGACGATCGTTGTGAAATTTGGTAGGTCGGATAAACTGACCAAAAATATAATCTGTACCAAGTTCCAGTTTTCTATCTTCAAAAACACGAAAGTTGCGTCATTTCCGATCGTTCAGTTATATGGCAGCTATAGGATATAGTCGGCCGATTCCGATCGTTCCGACTTATATACTGCGTGCAAAGGAAAGAAGGGTGTGTGCTAAGTTTCAAGTCGATAGCTTTAAAACTGAGAGACTAGTTTGCGTAGAAACAGACAGACGGACAGACAGACGGACAGACGGACATGCTCATATCAACTCAGGAGGTGATTCTGATCAAGAATATATATACTTTATAGGGTCGGAGATGTCTCCTTCACTGCGTTGCACACTTTTGACCAAAATTATAATACCCTCTGCAAGGGTATAACAAGAAAGGAAAGCTAACTTCGAGCGCAGCTGAAGTTGATATAGGAAAATTATAAATGATAAATGAAAATTTAACATAATGCTCAAAATACAAAAATAATTTTCGCTTATTTTCAATGTTGTGCTTTAGCTTAAGCCTTTATATTTTTCCTTTCCATTGTTTATTGCAATATTTTTACGATGAAATTCCAAGTATTTTGCTATCGAAAATCTTTGGAATGAAGACGAAGGGGCGATAAAGAGTGAGAGCTTGACCGTGGCTTGGGTGAAATACCGCTTGGACGTGATGATGCACTTTGCTTCGAACGGTGCGCAAGCCATCGATGATAATTTTTTTCTGCACTTGCACTCAATACACAAATGTGCCATAAAATATGTGAACAAATATATCTTTTTGTAAGGGAATGGGCAGAGCTATAAATGGCTTCTGGTTGTACTTTAAGTGGGGCGCAGACCCTGACTTTCTCCCCGCCGTTCCCTGCCGATGGCGGTGCCACTACCCTGCTCATTGGGCTTCCTGTCACGGCGTTATGTTGTGCGCTTTCTTCCCCCAATGCTCCGCACGGTTGCATCATCAATTATGCTTATCAAAACAGTGAAGGCTAAACTTTTGCTGACCAACTGATGCCCCTGTTGGGCGATACGCTTTCAGACCATCCACTCTTTCGTCTTCAGCTCTTCCGACCGCCCTTTGCCCTGCCCAGCTCCGGTCTGCCCTGTCCGTCCCAATGACCCCACTACAACGGCTGCATGTGATTTGAGTGCACTCGACAGGTAATAAATATGAAGTGCTAAACACGAGATACGCGCATTTTTCTGCTCGCAAAACTTTTGCCACATTGTGGCCAACAATATTGCAAAAGCTTTTAAACAATTGCAAAGGGCTCGGGCGGGACTGATTTAGAGCCGCAGACAGACCCAGGGCCACAAAAGGTACCAATACGGTCGCGGATGCGAACGCGGATACGGATTTGGATTCCGATGCCGTCAAAGAGCTGGCTAAGAGTGCTAGCAGGCCAAGGCCTGGGCAGATTGAACTGCTCTCACCCCGTCGCTTTCCAATCAATTACAACCGGCACGAGTAAGTGCAGAACGCAGCGAGAACAGCACTCTTGGGTGGCTTGGATTTACACAAATGCACAATAATTTCTAACATCTAACGGAAAACATGACTGCTTAATGGCGGAGGGCCAGCAGCAGAGGAATGCTCCGCCAGGTATGTGCACACGGGGCGTATGCGCAATTTGAATGATTGTTTTGCGTTTTGTTTCTCCATTTTCCTATTCGTCGCTTTGCGCTTTGATTGTTTGTTCTTGCCACGGGAGAGTGGAACGTGTGTTGATTACAGTTATTGCAAGCTGTTACGTGGTACTCACAGAGAGTGTTGAGTGTGTTATAGTCGTGCAAGGACGAGTAACATAGAACACTACATTTTTTCATATATTTTTTTTCTCATCCGTCAGACAGACAGACGGACATGCTCAACTCAGGATGGGATGCTGATCAATAATATATAAATATATATACTTTATAGGGTCGAAGATGTCTCCTTCACTGCGGTGCACAGCGGTGTATAAGATATAGTCGGCCGATAGTTATGAAAGTTGGTAGGTCGCACCAACTGACCAAAAATAGAATCTGTACGAAGTTTAAGGTTTCCGTCTTTAAAAACATGAAAGTTGGTTCATTTACGATTTTTCAGTTGTATGGACGATAAAAGATATAGTCGGCCGATCCCGTCCGTTCCGACTAATATACTGCGTGCAAAGCAAATAAGGTTGTGTGCAAAGCTTATAGCTTTAAAACTGAGATAGCTTTAAAACAGAGATACTATACCTTTGCCCTATACTCGTTCGCGTAGAAACAGACAAACGGACATACTCATATCAACTCAGGAGATGAGTCAAGAATATATATACCCTTTAGGGTCGGAGATGTTTCCTTCACTGCGTTGCACACTTTTGACCAAAATTACCCTTTTCAAGGGTATAAAAATTGGGCGAACACTCAAATCTCTAGAGTCTAGACGATTGACATATTTGCGACGATTTCTTTTGAGGAATAAAGGTATGTAGGTATTGTGTAGGTATAGGATTTTGCTGGTCTGAAATCATGGAATAAAATTCAGCACTCAAATTGTTGTTGATTGAAATTTGTTTGATAATAATTTTGTTCAGTGTATTTTGCTGCCAGCTGCAGTGACAAAATGGAAATCTGTGCGCCATTTGGGGTGCCTGTCATGACATTAAAATTAATGCGTTAAAAAATTCGATAATTTAAATGTTTATAACTCGCCTATAAATTCAATTTGAGCTTTTAAGCAAACAGGACTCATGGAGAACCCGGCTTAACAGCTGTCATCCTGCGGCGCTGTGTGTTTATGGGAAGGATATGCGATGTGGGTAGGCGAGATACGAGTGTTTGCCAATTTCGATTCCAGCAGAGGTGACATTTCAGGGCTGAATTATACAGCGTTTTTGTGAGCGACCTGGATCTTTGAGTTTTCGCGTGAAACTTTTTAATCAAAACGGCAAATCGAAAATAAAAATAGCAAAGTTTTCACTCAGCAAACGTCGAAGACTTTCGGCAACTCAACTTTGGCTGTCAACAGCCAATTTCGCCCATTTGGCTGCCGCTCTGGCGAAGTGTGCAAAAAGGTTCCGGCTGCGACTCAGTACATCTTGAGGGGCCTCGGCAGGGCCTTTCGCTTGTGTGTACACTATAATTTCTTGTTGAAAACTCTCCATTACTTTTGCAGTTCAATGTTTTACTTTTAAGCCACCCAATCGACCCACCAAGGCATCGAGCCACCGACCAGGCAGCCCACCGACCCATCGGCCATGGGCTGCTCTGGCACTTGTGCATGGCAAATTTACTCGGGTTCATTTCATTTGGCAAAACTTTGGTGGCCACAAAAGTTTGCTGTTCGGGCCGGGCCTGGTGGCAGCATTCAATGCATTTGATTTCTCAAACACACTTAGCGTGGAATTTAAGGCACGGCGGGCATGACTGCGAGGGCTTCTGTGTACTTAAGTGCAACATGTTCGCTGGCGAAATGAGAGGCGACGGGCCAGTGAATGAAATGCTGACAGAAAGTAAACTGCCGGGCTTAAGGAAAATGTCGAAAAATAATTGGCGCGCGTTCGGAAAAACTAGCAACTTTGGCAAATAGGCAGTCGGTTCTTTTCGGGGTGTGTGCTGTGGGTGTGGATCCTGCGTTTTGCCAACAATGGGGTCTAATTATAGCGTGTTGACGCACAGCCTTTACAATAGCAAGGATTTGGCACTTTTTGAAAAGTTTTTGGCTACCGGACGGAGCGGCTTTCTTGATTGGCAATGGCTCAATAACTTACCAATAACTGCATTTCGGCCACTCCTGCCGCTTTATATAGTACAAAGAATAAGCCAGGACAAAACATGATTATTGTTTAAATTACATTTATTTTCCATGATAATCACTTGATTTATTCGAATGCATTCGTATTGGTTTCCATACTTTGCTGGTTTGGTTGTGTCTCCTGTCGCCTTTATTCCCCCTTCCGGGTGTGAGTGGGTGTGTGTGTAAGCACAATGTTTTATTTACTGATTTACTGGTAATTTTACTATTATTAAATTCATATTCGTCAAATGTTTGCAAGTTGAAATTGTACAATAATGCGCACGAGCATTTACATTGAAAACACTTTAATCATTTTGAATCGTTTGTTCGTTAGGTTTCGCTATGGCCTTCGTCCATACAGAGAGTACAATATCTATTATAAGATTTCATTTGTCATATGTGACTTTATAAATAACAAACGGACATTACCGGCCATTCGATATACATATGGTAATATGGTAATACAAAATATTTACAGTGGAAATGCTTAACAGTGAGAACCAATTAAATGCTCCGAACATTGCATTTAATTCAATCCAATAAATTACTTGTTCCAAAAGATCAAAGGACCTGGGGCATTCGCATACACATACAACACATCAAGGAGACGAATCCACAGTTAGTACTTTGATATTTTCAATATTCTTATTACGTTTCACAATCAGTAAACTACATTTACCTAATTTTTGGTTTTATGTCCGGTTTATACTAAGGAATCTAGTCGAACTTCAAGTGGTATTGTTTAACAGTTTGTCGCTTGTAAATTACGTACCGATTATAAACGAATGTTGGCTTAAATCTGATTATCCAATAAGAGGCGGAGGAGATCCTCTATGTTGTATTGTATTCTATCGTATATGCTGACCACCCTGGCCACCCCGCGGGGTGTCAGCCTTGGAGTCGGGTTCCGTAAACAGTCGAAAAGTTGTACATAATTCATTACGTAGATGCTTGTTTCTAGATTGAGGTGTTGCAGCCGCTGGCACAGGCACGAAAGAAATGCGGATTGCGAATTACAGAGGAATGTTAAAAGAAAGTGCTGAATTTTCAACTTTCTTGCTGCCCCGGCCTGCCTTGCCCTGCCATAGATGACGAAGTACCGAATGGAAGCTCGACATGCGGACGCTTTAAGGATTTCGTTGATTTAGACTCCATTCAGGGTACGAGGGCCCTTTGCTGGGAGAGTGGCGTCAGTACAGCACGTGGGTTGGTGCGGTCCACTTTGCCGTGGTGGTCCGGCACTCGTTTCCTCCCAGTGTTCGAAATTAATTACTGAATGATTTTGACAGGTTGAAAGTCCATAAAGCATCCGCACGCTCCAAGCCCGCACCCTCTCATCCCGTTTAATATTATTGCGCATTTTCAGTCGGTTTTGTGTCTTTTGGTTGCTGGTGTTGTAGCTGAATGATTTCCTCTTTATTTACAAAATTTGAATTACTATATTTTTGCTGAATGCGGCGTGAGTCCTTGTGTGCACGTATGCTTGCGCTGCCGTTTGCAATAAAATGTATTTACAAACTTAATAACACAATTAATTAAAATGGGTTTATTTCGTCCTTCTTACTTTCGTCAGAGAGTGCAATTCGTGCTGCTTGCTTTGCCTGCGGAGGTCCTTTATACTATAAGTTTTCAATTAGCAACTAATAACAGTTATAATGGTTTTTTAATGGATGCCGCATTTGTTAAAGAACTCGTTTAATGGATTCGATTGGCATATAACCATTTTCAGAGACGCAAAGCATTTCACTGGCTCAAACAAGGATACATATAACATTTGATATTTTCATTGCACTTACCCATGACATTACCCATGTCAAACCCAAACTTAAGCGTAAACTTAAACTTAAACTTTGTCTTAATTCAACGCATTACCAAATAAAGAAACAGTTCACATACATATTTGTCTCCAATCTTCAACCTCAAACACACTGTACACAATCAATGGAAAGTGAGTTATAACTAAACTTGGACTTATCTAAACGTCTAGATGTACGAGTGGATGCCTGGCATACATACGCTACACATATATGCGACTGTGATTGGATTACGTTGATTTTTACACTCCAGTGCTTAGCTTAGCAATTATTCTAGACTCGGGTTATTTAGTTATTAACTGTGTGTCTGGCTTGTTTAGGTCTAACACTGAAATAGCTTAAATAGGACTTCTTTGTCGCCAACATCCGCTCGTCGCTTGCCAGTTGCCGTCTCCTCCCTTGCCCCTTAGGTCAGAAGAATGCGTCTGTTGCGGGATACATAGATAAAAATACAAGTTCTGCCATTGGGGATTAGAGCGCGTCTTTCGTCTTACCTCACAACAACCGTGTTTAGCAGCAGGCAGGGCGCCAGCATTGACCTAAATATGTGCGTCAGACGATCGGCCGAAGAGGTCTTGCGCCGCGATATAGCCGCCATATTGTCGCCTGAAAGTGACAGGGTAAATTTGAATTTGAATTAGTGCCAGAATTAGTTGGGTGCGAATGCAATTATGTGTGCCAACAGCCGCGCCATCCTGTGCAACTTGCCCTCCTATTTGTATCCTCCCGTTTCCCCATTTTTATTTTCAGCATCTGCAGGCGTCGTCTCATTTGCATATTTTCATCATCATTACAAAATTCGCTCCATGTCCATTTAAATGCAAACATAGCAAGAAACTCGATTTGTGTCACCCTTTTTAAGGAACAAGAAATGGAAACTTAAGCGAGACCCACGCTGCTTGAAGCTAAACTCACGGGAGCTGTGTAAACGCAAATATCAGGATATTTTGGTATTTCCAATCTCACCTTTCGAAACAAAGACGTAAATGCTGGCCGGCTCCGTGTTGCTGGCCGAGCACGTGTAGTTGCCGGAATCGGTGATCTGTGGCTCTCGGATGATCAGCCGGCTCTGCGTTCGGGGCCCAGGAGTCGTCTCTATGGTGATGTCACGCCGGGAGTCCACGTAGTTGATCAGACGGTCGTTCTTCTGCCAGTATACGTACTGGGGCGGTGTCGGACTCTGTAAGTAGACGGGAAATCGTCTGAGAGCCGAAAAAGGAGGCACGTGGACAGCTTACCTTTTCAATAATGCAAACCAGATTGATTGTTGAGCCCATGTCGACATGCAGCTCGCCAGAGCCCAGGATGAAGGCCTCCGGCACAACCACTTGAAGATTCACAAAGTGCGAAATGATGCCAGTCGGGGTCGAGACCTGGGTGTTAAGTTTTATTTTGAGTGTAAGGTGAGAAAATGGGAGGAGCCATGGAGCGGAAAGAGCAAGTACGGCAATTGAGTGCGATTGGTATACGTAATCAACTCGAGTCTTAATGCTTCAGTAAACTCAAAGCAAAAACCACTCCCCGCCGGGCTGTGTTAGGAAATCGTTGCGAGTGCAAGAAATGTTGCACTCATTGAAATGCAAATCAAACAATTTCAATTTGGCACACAAAAATGAAACAAAAACGAACGGATTCTATATAAGTGGAGCGCTTCCTACACGTTCCGAATACTTTCTGTCTGAAGCGATAGCGGTAGAGGGAGGGGGAGCAGAAGCCGGAGCAGGATCAGACGAAGGCCCTGCTCACAAAAATAACCGGCAGGCAGGCAGCAGTTGCTGCAGCTTCTACGCTTCTGCTGCCCAATAGCAGCAATGGAGAAGGAAATAATCATTTCGGCATATTTGCATGCAGCTCTCGTTGGCTACGTATTCCCGGGTCCAGAGACCGAAGACCTGAGTCCGGAGGGGACATGCCCGACCCACTGACTCTGAGCATGACTCGATGACTGACTGGTTTGCCCTGGCATGCGGCTTCTCATATTGAAATTGCATGCAAACAATTTTGAAATTGAAGCTACGTTTCCGAAATCGCTCTGTTCACCGCCCGACCGCTCCGTCCACCAGCCCTATGCACATCTCCACCCGTTGTCCTATCCATCCAGTCAAAGCAGCCCGAGTGGCACTTGCGCTGCTGCACAAACAGAGTTACTGTCAAGTGTCCATTTCAGCAGCGTCTAACTTTGTTGCTTTTCGGTTAGTTGTCTTCCCCGCTTCTTTCCCTTTTCTATCCCTTCCCTAGCTCCGTCCCTCTTAAGCTGTTTTCCTTTTCATTCCGTGCCGGGAACACGCCCCTTCCATATTTGCATCCTCATGACTTTCGGCTTCTTGTGCATTAGTTGGCAGGATAGAAGGAACGTCGCTCGAATTTGTTATCTGCAACCGTGTGTCAGCCAGTGAGCCAGTCAGCCAGTCAGCCGTGTTCCTGGGTGGCCCTGGGTCCAATGCTACACTCTTTCGGCTGGCCTGAATTGTCAGTGTCAGCCAGACGATTGCTGATTCGGACCCGGACTCGGACTCCGACGCGGATGCTACAGTTCCTGATTGTGACAGCTGACCAAATAGTCGCGGGCAGTTACCTTAAATCGAACCTCTGCATATAAAACTCAATTTGCATATTACAATTAAATCATGCGCAGGTACGCAAACCGACGCGACGTGACGTAACGTTTCCCGAAATCAGCGCGGAGCATAGAGCCTTCCGTGAAAACCTCAATACTTTGTCCACATACGGTCGTTACGGGGGAGGAGCGGAGCACGAGAGCGTATGCAAATGCACTTTAGTTTATTTCAACTGCGCTGCATGCATAAAATATGGAGCCATCATCGCAGAGACTCGCATCCATCTGCACCGGCCCTGTTCCCGGCGTCCACCACATACGCCCACTGGGCGGAGTGGGCCCAACACCGTCGTCCCCCTTCCCGGTGACTTACCTGGCACTCGTACATGCCATGATCCCGGCGCTGCACAAACTTTATCTGCAAGGTCCACATGTTGGATCCTGGGGTGTGCAGTATCGCGAAGCGCTCGTCGTTGGTGTAGAGCTGGGCCCCCGACGACAGGATGTGCCAGTCCCGGCGGCGGATCCAAGATATTTGATTCTGTTGACGAGAGCCAATACCCAGCCGCGTTATTAACAAAGCGAACAAATTGGAAATCGAGTATTATGCGCACAGATAATTAATAGCACTACAAAGTAGGCAGCACAAAGCCGCTCATGCAATTAGCGAAACATGCGAATGCTTCTCGAAAAGTAATTAAAAAATGCTCACATGCGGCCCTCTTCGTCGCCCAGCACCAAGCCGCCAAGCGGTGGCTGGGTGCAGCGGGAATTGAATTACAACTTGGGTTTACACGCGGATAAACTATTTTTAATGCCCTAGCAGGTGCGCAGCCAGAAACGAATGAGGCTGCAGCGAAATAATGTGGGTCAAGGGATTTCGAGCTAGCGATGAGTCTCAACGAAGGATACCCCGTACTTTGTTGTATGAGAATAACATTTCCGATTAACTTTTAACTTCAAAGAATTTTTTTACACATTGCTTTTGAATTAAGAAAGTTTTGATTATGAATTGCCACGACTTTAAAATACAGCTTTCGGGTGCTTCTATCAAAAAATAGGAAATAATAATCCTAGACATTTAAAAATTTGACTCTTGGTGAATTGTCATTGAATTGTCATCATTTATTTAGCAACGCTGTTAATTGGCATTTCATGAGGTTTCGTTCGATCTGAAGGTGTTGAAAAAAGATCCTTACGCACATAAAAAGCGTGTGAGAAAAATTTTCGGGGGGAATCCTTCTAATTAATTGACATTTTTTAGGCCCATGTATTGAGAGTCCCATCAAGCATTGTGTGCCAGTTGTGGTGCTTAATTGCTTGTTAGCCAAACCGAATGTCAAACAGTGTGTCCTGAAATTGTCATTCTGCCGAACGCTTGCTTTCAACTACAAATTAAGCTCTTGTTTGGCTGTTGTTCGTACTTGGCTGTTCAACAAATTAGACTTTTGCGTGCCGCATTCGAGAAAACAATAAGCGAAATGAAAATGCCATATAATTAGACAGGAAAATGAAATGAAAACGAAAACGGAAACGGAAATGGCATTGGGAGAGGGAGTGGTAGTGGTAGCTGGAGTGTGAGTGGTTGCTGGTGCGGGTGCGGGTGCGGGAAAAACCAGAACAAGTTTCAAATAAAATATGCATGTTGCATTGCAGCAGCAGTTGTGCTCGCCAGCAGATCTCTCCCGTCCTATCTAGTCCTGGTATCTAGCGGTCTCGAACCGTATTCAATTTCCCAGCTCCGCCGGCTAGTGGGAACCAATGGGGCGGAGCTGCAGGAGGCGGAGGTGCTGGCGTTCACCCTGCACTGAACTAAGCTACTGGTATAATGCGGGAGTGTCCTCGCGCTTCGACGAGGCACAATTAGAGAGACAAAAACAAACCCAATTTACACCCACTCTGTCCACGCCGGAGACCTTGCAGACCAGGAAGGCGGTGCCACCCAACTGGACGGTTGTGTTGTGCGCCATCAGCTGTTGCAAAAGAAGAAAAGAGGGAAGGGAACGGGGAAGAGAACACACAAGACAAAAAGTTAAAAGTTCATTGTTGGGTTGTGGGTCGGTGGGTTGACATCCAAACGACACTGGCTCCGAATCCAGCAAAGCAGCGCCACCCCCTCGCTCCAGTTCCTGATACATCAGCGTCGCATTCGAGTCATCCGCCCAGCGAAGACGGTTCGAGTGGCTGGGGGCCTGGAGAGCTTGCTATTTGGATAATTAGATTCGAAGCCAGTGCGAATGAATTATAAATAAGCACTAAAGATTAATTAGCCGCGGTCTAGACCCAGGCTCTTCCGTTACGCTCTCTCTGGGGCGTAATTAGCGCCAAGCCGCTTGGGTGTTATCTCCGGATTCTTTCTCGCAGGGTGCACTCTCCTTCAGCATCATTAACATATTGATCGTTCTGACGTCTTACCTCCTCCCTCCTACCCCTCATCAGCGACTGCAATCGACTGAAGTTTACAACGCTACCGGATTCGGCACGAGTTGATTGCATTTGGGATAGGGGGCAATGAAGGTCAATCTGTCATCGGGACTTACCTCGCTGTCTTCGAACATTGGACTGTCACTCGAGTCAAGATTATTATCCAATTTTGAGTCGGCCCCCACTCCGCCGCGCATCCATAGCTTCTTCCAGTCGTTATCTGTTAGTATTGACTTTTGATCTGCAATCAGAAAAGAGTAGCCACGAGCGTTACTCGAAAATTGTGTTAAAGTTCCGATTGTTCTTATTCGAGTGCAATCAGCAGAATGTCTGGGGTGCAAGTGAATGTGATTGGCCTTGGGTTTGGTGAGGGCTAATCCCATCCCAAATGGCACTCGGCTCTCTCCCAGGACGTTTCTTATCTGAGCCCCTTGAAATGATACATCAGATACTCCAAGATGGACCTCGAAGTGATTCGTCCTATTTCGGGTTATTGACTTTCGACTGCTTTTCGAGACAAACACTGCCCCATCTATAGCTAGGCGGATACACCTCAATTTATTTCTCCTAAATACAATGCTGGAGAAGCTCCTTAATAGGTTTTTGGAAATAGAAACAGCGCGCCTGTCCTGCTCCCCTCAATGGCGATTGTGTGGAATCAGTCAGGTGCACAAAGTTGTGTCTTAGAGAAGCCAATTTTGTTGGCGGAGAAGGAACGCAGTCCAAGTAAAAATGTGTAATAATGTTGTCTGCAGGATCAGCAGATGAAAGTGTGCGCCCACCTCTGACACTCGGCTATAAAACCCAGCGAAGCGAACTCGCAGTTTTATTGCCTCGTAAATTTTTATAGTTTATACTTTAGGCATGCGTATGCAGGACTCCAATCGAGAGCATACGAGGACATGTATGTATTTTCGGGTTTCTTTTCCAGCGCCAATGTTATTTATGTTAGCAGAGCTCGCACTGACGTCAAACACTTTCGGCCACGATGCATTGATTTTAAAATGGGTCTGTTCGGCTCAGAAGTGTTCTGTTTATGAGTACCCTGGCTGACGGTGTACACACACAGCTTCATGGCGGGGAAGGTCCTGCTAATGCCCAACTATTAATTATGCGGAATGAGCCAGGCAAAGCCAGCAGAAACGGGAGCAGCATGGAAGCCACAGCACAAAGGCGAGTCCACTTGACTCGAGCCGTTTCGTGGCAGCTTTATGACAGGTCAGGTCGGCTTTGGCATCAAACATAAATTATTATACATACCCACACGCGTTATCTTTGCATTTGTATGCATGACAGTCAAACACACACAGCCGCGTCCTGGGGTAGGGGCTAGTGGAAATATATTGCGCATGTTTAAGGGAATGTAAATGCTCGGGAAGAGACTTTGACTGAGGTCAAGTGTGGGCAGAATGAGCGGGGTTGTGGGCGGCAGGCCGTGGTGAAGGCCAAACACGATAATAGTGAAAGAACACGCACTGCTAATAAAACGGCTAGAGCGGCGTATTTCAACGCATCCTGTACTTGGCGGTACGTGCGCATGTCAGCTGCCTTCGGCTTAGGCGTGTGAATTATATTATGCCTGAAAGTAGGCAACTGTAATAAAACTTGCGCAAAAAGCGATAGAAAATGACACACCCCTCGCTCGCCGACTCCGGGCTAACCGGATGCCGCAACAAAAGTAGCAAAAACTGGCAATACATGGCAATATGACTCCCTTCGTTCCGTTTAGTTTCCTTTCGTTGCCGAATTTTTCATTTAATTTACCCCGTCTGCCCGCTCCCGCTGCTAAAAAGCGATAAATAATGAAGTCAGCAAGTGGGGCTGGCATGCTCGCATGTTTATTATTAATAATAAATATTTCTTGTCAATCTCTCGCCCCACGCCCTCAACCGCTTAAGTTATATGGCCCGCAGTCACGGCATACTGGTTATTGTCCTTGTTGTCGCCAGGATCGGTTGTTGTGAGTTTTTCTATTGTTTTTCCCTAAGCATATACCTGTGCCTGTTTTAAAATAATATTTATCTGTCTTCGTTGACTGAGGGCTCCTCGGCGTATACGTAAAACTTAATGCCATGCCAATATGTCTGCGCTAAGCCCCAAATCTGCTTAGGCCGACGGAGCGCTTAGCACTTATGAAGCTGCCTGCCAGGCGCTCTGTGACCTGGTGGTCACAAAAGCCACGCCGGCTCTCAGCTCGTTTGCAGGCCAGAGGTCGCCCCTCCGCCATCCCACTCGCTTAATTTTTAAACCGCTAAGCAAATTTGCAATACTGCTGACTGAGACACACCCACTCCGCCACCCACAGAGCCACCCACTCAGCACTTCCAACTCATTTGCACTTAAGACTTGAGTGCGAGGATACGCGAAATCGTGTTACGAAGTGAAACGCACGAGAAAAAGAGAAAAATGGAAAATCTCTGGAAAACGCCATCTTCTGTCCCTTGTTTGTTTGCCGAGCGTAGAGTGTGTCTCGCCCCCTACGTGTATGCAGAGTGTGGCAGCCCCGCTGCTTCAGCGACCTTGGGCCCCAGCCCATGTGCCACGGGTATGCCATTTGGAGGGGCTAGCTTGCCCTGGACGACATGGAAAATTATTTTTTCGACGAAGCTCTGCGATGAAGCCAAAAAAGGCGTCTGAGGAAACTTTTGGCCTGGTCGAATGACGAGGGAAATATAATACAAAGGGTGGGATAGAAAACATAAGCTAAAATAACAGATATCTTTCTTGAAATGGTGGTACTGGAGTTCGTGCCTTCATGAATGCATTAAGGGTTTAGTTTGAACAGATATTCCCCAACAAGAAACTTAAAAATTTGGGGAGATCCTGTGCTGGAGAACTTTTTAGTTGGTGTCATGGACAAACTTTCGAACAAACTGCAGGTGCGAATGCCTAGGGGAATTCGTTATCTGGCAGCAGACTGCACAAGTTTTTAAGATTGATTAGTTTCATTAAATAACCGCCACTAAAATAATAAATTCGGTGTCACTCAACTCTGACACAAGTAAATGTATTCTAAAACATCGTAGGAGACCGGGATAATTATTCGCTAGCAAAGTAACCATGAAATCTTGTGGTGAATGAACATAGGCGCTTCGTCACCGAAACTTGAAAGTTCAATTTTTCCGAAACCGGCAGTGACAGTCCCTCCCAGCTGGTGAGCTTACATCCACGCGCCCTCTTTACACACTTTCCACCCCAGCGACTTCCGCACTTTAAAAGTCAATTTACAAAGTTTTTTCTGACAACGACTTTCAAGCCACAAGGCGTCGCAATAAATTTTCAATTTTTGCACTGTCACGCGAGCATTGTTTGTTTTCGACTACGGTTTTGACTGCGCCCCTCTTCCCACGTCCTTGTTCTCGTTCTGGTCCTCGCCAAGTGCCCGCAACCACCCACTTTCCTCAGGAGGCTGCGTAATGAGCGGACCTCTCGCTTCGATAAGGTGTCGCCTTTGCCGTGTCGGATAATTTATGCGCAACGCGTTTGGCGAGCTGCGAAAAAAGCAACAGAAAGCGGCAAGCTCCGCGACCAGGGGTGTTGCCCCATCGACGACCCCGGTAGAAACCAAAGCCGCAAGGGCAGCAACTACGACAACGGCCACATCGCCCATTGCCCATCAACAAGGTGGGTCGCCCTCGGTGCTAATCTTTCCCCTGTGTATTTTTCATTATCCTTATTATTTGTGAATGTTACGTGTTGGCCATAACTTTGGAGCTCTAACGATGCGTATACGTGACGTTCCAAGTGCTTTGGGCTTGGCAGCCCGCCACGCTGTTCGGCAGCGACGCCCATTTAAAGTAAATTAGCGAAAGGTCAAGCGATGCGGTGTGGATGAAAAATTAATAACTGTTTGCGAAGCAATCGCCGAAAGCCTAAAATTAGTTGGCTGCACTCTGGATTCGAGTGAACGCCCACCCGCCCTACTTGAGGCGTTTACTTGGCATCGTTCGGCTGCATTCCATTTTTCAAATGAATGGCAAACAGTCAGATGTGCTACTTGTTATTGCCAGCAAGTCCCGCGGGCGTATTTAAAGTATTCCGTCCCAAAGTTCGGTCCGCAGGTGCAAGCTCTCGACAACTACGACTTCGGAGCTCCCGGATTGAACTCAATGCCTTGACCTAAACCTAATGATTAAAATTCGTGGCAAAATAAATCCGTAAATTGGCCAAGTTTCGGCCGCTTTGGCCGTGCGATTTGGGACTTTAATTATTGGCCTGCGGACTTAGGGGCTGTTTTTGCCACGATTTGTAGGCCCAGTGTTAATATTAAAATAAACTGCTGCATACTTTGAGAAACTGGCTGAGTACTTGGCATAAATTTCGACTTAATTTACATAGCACTTTCAGGAATAAGCCAGCCACCTCTACTAGGGGGGTCTCGCCCGAGGAAACCCCCTAATTAAATACTAGAAGCAAAAGTGTGACTGGGGATCGGAAGAGCAATGAGATTTTCAACGCACCTGGCTCGAGAGTCGTGGCAAGAAGTAGGGTGGGCAGACACAGCAGCAGGATGCGCAGCTCCATGAGGTGCACGGGTCGCCGCAAGGGCAGTAGCAGTCGTGGCAGCACCATTGGCAGTTCCTTCGGCTTCTTTCTGTTCCTTTCCGATCCGACGTTGCAACTACTACCACTGTCTACGCCTATGGCCGCTTTACCGCCTAGATCCTAAATCCCAGAATTGATGGGGCACATCGATGGGCGGCAGCAGAATGGTTCGCCTCGTTGTTGTGGCTGCTTATTAGGGTTAATGGCTTTTTGAATGAACGTGCAACAATGTCGGCATCTCCGGCCCGCACCCGCCTCACTGGGCCAGCGAGGCAGATCTACTGTTTTTGTTGTTGTTTGGTGTTGCTAGTTCCTAGTTGCCAGTTGCCAGATGCTTTCTCTTTGTTGGATGCGATGCGGCGCTGATAAATGAAGCTGGTCCAATGTGAGCTTTTTTTTCCTATTCGCTGTCGCCTGTCAATGCGATGTCTGCTGTCTAATGTCCTTTGCCCGCCTGTTGTCCTGTGCAACACAATGCGTCCTCCCCCTTCACGGGTGCCTTACTCTGCTGTATGCAACGCGTTGGGCGCCGAGCGCTCTTTCTTTAGGCTTTGCTTCTTTAGGGAGCTTCACACGAGGTCTCCATCATTTTTCATGTCAATGCGTGTTAGCACATTAAGCCACGTCTGGCTGTATCTATCTTGTATTGTGTGGCTGGCAAAAAATTAACACCCGCTTTTTATGAAATTACATTCAATTTGCTATAGTGGCTGTTGGCGTTGCCATGAACAATGGTGTAGCGTTGAGGCAATGATGAATCGCTTCCAACGTAATGTCCATTGAGGACTCTTGTTTTCCCGTTTTCCGCTCTCCACTTTCTTTTTTCTGGTCCTAGGTTGGCTTTACTTTTTCCGGGTGCTGCTCAGCGAGCTGAAAGAAGAAAAATAAAGGAAAATGCATAAGTTACGGAGTGGAAAAAATAACAAGTTTCTTAAATTAGGAATAAGTTATAGATACAAAAACTAACTAAGGGGCTAATTAAAAGAGTAATTGAGTTCATGGGCGGTTTCTAGCGCCCTTGCTCCCAATCGCTTCAATTTATTTATTGCCGAGGAAAATTCGTCACATTATGTGTTTCTAGGTGGGTGGGTGCTGTCAGAGTCGGGTGAGGCAGCTGGACAATTGGCGAGATCAAGATTATGCAAAGTGGACGCCGAGGACGCCACTGTAATGGCTCAGCAATTGGCCGGACGGACTGGACACCAGAACCTTACGACCTCGAAACATAACCTCAGAGTGGGATTTTCCATAAATTTGTATTTATTTGCCCGCACGCGTGAGTGAGTTTATTTAAATTTTTATGCTGAGATGCATAAAAAGCGATGGCCACTGGCAACTTGGTCAAAGTTTTGTGGCCAGTCATAATTTTTATCTGCAGCCCGGCTCTTGTTCTACGTCTGCTCTTTATTGTGACTTTACATTTTATAAGTTTTTATATTTATGTCGATATTTGGGGGCTTGGGCCGAGGCCAGCTCTTCAAATGGATGGTATTGTGGAGACTAGCGGTGCGAGAGTCCGGGAGTTTGTTCAACTCGCTGTGCAAACAGAGCTAATGAATCCGAATTTGGCGAAGCGTTGTGCACATAAATTAAAATTGAAATTCGGCCGCAGGATTGCCAAAGCGTTCGTTCATTTTAATTACAAAACTATGTGGTTTTCTGAGCATGGCGATTTTCTGGTTTTGATTTCGCTCTGCGGCCCGGAAGAATCCGAGCTTTTTAATTAACACTGCTAGTCCGCTGCTTGCTCTTATGGCCAAACATTAGGAAATGTCATGCGGCCCGAATTTATGACACACTCGTGTACAATTCATTTAAATTGATAAGGGTGGAACAGCTCCAGCTTCCAGTTGCAAGTTGCCATTTGCTATTTTGCTATTTGCTGCCATTTTGCCTTTTTCGGACTCGCATATCGCATCGCAAGTGCAGCAGTTTAGAGTAATTCGCAGAGTAAATGTCATGCCAGAGGAATTCTTGTTTATGCATCTGTGTTCTCGGTGTGAGTGCGAATGCGACTGCTAGTGCGAGTCCTGGCCCAAGTGTAAGAGCAAGTGTAAGTGTATGTGTGAGTGCTGTTCAACACAACTATGCACTTAAATGCAGTCACGTACTCACACAGAGACGTCCATATTATTATCTTGACACAATGGTGCCATAAAACTTAAAGACCCCCACAGCATTTTGCCTTTCCGAATGCTTCTGCCTTTGCTCTGGCGAGGGCAAGTGCTGAAGGACATGGCGCTTGCCTTTCCCGCGTCGTTGCCTCTCCTCTTGCCTGCCTCTCTGTTTCTGTTTCTGTTTGTGTGTCTATTTCGCTTCACCCTCTGCTACTGCCTTTGTCCGCCCATTGCTCCCTATTTACACACTGCACACACATATGCACACTTGTATGCAATCCGCGCACACAAATACACATCCACCCAGCTGTTCTGGCCTGCGTCCTGTTTATGCCGCCCCTACCCCGGCGCTCTGGAGGTTATATGGAAATTGTAATAAGTTGGAAACCAAAAAGCTGATGTCATGAGGTTAGTTGCTGAGGCTCAAGTTTCAAGCGACAATCATGTGCTTTCTTTTGTGCTCGGCTCGGCTCGGCTCTGTTTTGTTTTTCTTTGCTCCTGCTTGGCTCTCTTCTGCTGACCTCATACTTCATTTTGTTGCTTTTGTTTGGCTTGTCATCCGACTTGCTCTGAGCTCTGGCGCTCTGCTCCAGCCCCCCAAAGTCCCAGGATCCCCGAGTCCTCTTGCCGTGCTTTCTGTATAATGCACTGCGATGGCGCTATGATCCCGCCCGTATTGTTATTGCAGCCGCTTGGCTATGCTGTCGGAAACGTAACTGCATGCCAACATGCGGGCACTTGCCCCGCCACTCTCCGCATGAGCCATCCGAGCATGTATAATTAAGTATTGCCAAGGACCCTGTTTTATTATTGAGGGCAAGTGCGGGCGGCATTAAATAGTTCATGTTCTTATTCGGAGATTTCGCGGAGTACTGACATCACTGGGACCTCCGAAAGGCCACCATGGCGTATGCTTGTTGCCATCTGCTAATTGATTGATGTATACGACGAATTTGTCAATTCTCTTGCTTTCAAAAAATGCGGATATATTTTTGCACCAAACTATCCCTAACAGAGTTTTGTTCACTTACTCTAGCTTTTGGGGCATGTAAGTGGCCTTCCTCCTAACCAAAGTTTTTCTCTAAAACAGTATTTTAATTTTAAAAGGTGACGATAAAGAGTTGAATAAATAGAAGGGGCCAAATTATCTTTTATAACCAAAATAAATTATTTCCGTATATGTGCATCGAAATCATAAATTATTCAACCTGCTTTTCTACTTGCATTATTATGAAAGGTTGGAAAAAAGTCAAATTTCCCGCAAAGTGCTGAATAATAAACTGGATGAATAATTTATGAATCTTTATTCCAGAATATTAGTGGTTCATCACAAAAGATAGCTAAGTTTCTGGCAAGAGCATCGTTTACCAAATGATTTCACCTCGTTGGGAGCACAAATCAATTATTCAGGACATTCAATGTAACATTCCAAGGAAGACACAACGCTCGGGAGTTAAGGATTTATCGAATGACCTCTCCTATATTTCCCACGCCTAAGTCCCACAGAAGGGCTGCTACTCATTTATGTCCCATGAGTGGTTCGATTTTTGGAGGAAACTGCAAAACCATTATTGTGGTTCCACTAAATGGCGTGCGCCCGCACTGGTCGGCTTTATAATTAGTGCATTTGAAATTAAGGCGATAAGTGCGGCAAGCGGGGAAATTGGAAAATTATTACGCCTTGGCAGGCCGATTGAAAATTAGTATTTGCCACAAGCACTGGGTAATTTATGTGGTATTGCGATACAAAAACGAATAACGTCAATGCTCCCCAATCTTTATCCCGATTTCAATCCCGTCCCAGTCCCACACAACCACAAACTCGTCCCCATTGCAGCGCTCACCACTTCCTCCTAGCATTCAAATGAAAATGCACGTTACGCATTTTGATTGCGCTTGAGTGGCTGGATAAAAAAAGCATTATATAAATTTCGCCCTTTAGATGACGACATTGTAGCTTCACTGTTATGGTCGTGTATCTGCGCATACGAGTGGGTGCTCGCGTTGCAGGCTCCTGCCGCCTCCCTTGAACTGGTAATTGTTTTGCGCACATTTCCGTTTCCGCTACGCTGCACTTCAATGGCCTTAATTTACACTATTTTTATTTACATTCTCTGCTCTTCACAAGTGGCCAATTGTCAGGTCCAATCCGAAAATCTGCATACTTTCGAAATTCATGTTTTATGACAAAGGAAGTGTGTGAATTCACCATAAAAAAGCTCATTTGTTCGCTGGCTGCTTCCTGACCCTGTCAGTTTATGTTATAATTTATTACTGGATATTAACAATTTAATAATTCAATGCCCAAAGTTTAATGCCGGTTTTTATGGAAACATATTTAGGGTCCTGACAAGCTAGCCCCAAGGGTTATTGGTTTAGGCCCCGCAGAAACAAAGACTTCGAGAATGCCAAGTGTGATATGCAGTAAACAGTAAAGTAAATAAGTTAAGGGGAAGACAGCCCCGTCCTCTTAAGGGAAGCTCGGAAAGTGATATTTTTGTACCGCCGGTTTTAGCTCTCAATCGCAGCGCTTGCAGTCTGCAGGAAAACTTCAATCTCCGCCCGGGGGTGCACTGAATCCTTTCCTGGAACTTGTTCACAACATTTAAAAGCGAAAGAAACTTGCAAGTTGCAAACTTTTTCAATTTAAGCACGCTGTGCCCACTGTCCCACCTCCACCAGCCCCACCGCCCAACTAAGCCCACAGCGAGACCATAACTGCAAGTTTTGTACTTGTTAATTTACCGTTGAAAAGTGCATTGGCCACACTCGCATTATTCCGTGCCTTTGCGTGTTGCGAGGACAGTTGCTTCGGCCTGACTGGCGTATCCTTTTCGGCGCTCCCGCTCGTCCGTCGCTCATTTGGCTTTAATTAAAACTACGCCAGCCGAGATAAACTCGTAAAACGCCAAATATCCAAGATGTCTGTTCCCAGCAGTTCGTGTCGGAAATGGAATCGATCATCATGAGGAGGGGTCCCCGTCCATACCCAAAGTTGTGGCAAAGAAAGCGGGTGGCAGTCATAATAAAAACAAAACTATTCTCGGTGTTTATTTAAGTTTAGAAATCGTGCAAATTTTCATAAATTGTTTTGTGCTTTGCACGCTTGTTACAGGAAAGCGACGAAACTTTTCCCAGCCGTGGCCCTTTGAATGTGTGTGCCACTACATTAAACTCTTCCCATCATTTTCCACCCCGTTGTTCTGTCCACCTCCTGTGCCCCATGTAGCATTTGTTTTTTGTTTTTTTTTTCAATTTTTTTTAGCTTTTGTAGTTTCTGTCTATGTGCCGTGACTGCAGCAAAGTTTTAGTTCGGCAATTTTGCCTTTCCGTTCGCTTCGTGGGTTCTTTTTCTTTTCCATTTCCATTTTCATTTTCCGTATTTCTTTTTTACTGGTGGGGTTTAGCTTTTTTCGGCGCCATTTTTGTTTCGTTTTGTGCTTTGTTAGTTCCGTTTCCGCTCCACGCTCGCCACCAGAACACACACAGGACTCTCCCGACACGGCAGAGCTCTATTTTCGGGGCCGACCCGCTCGTTTTTATTTTATGTGGTGTTGTCAACTTATTCCTACGTTCGGTGATTTATTCTCTAAACAATTAAGGCAAAACAGAAATGCAAGCGCGCGGAGATATCAGTGGGCCATGGGGTGCCTGGCGTGGCTTTATGAATTTTTCAGTTGAAATATTTACAGGAGAAACGCAGGTAAAGGGACAGAAAGGGCCGTGCCGCTAGGCACGGTTCAATAAAAACAA